CCCGGCTCTGCCTCCGCTCCCTCCCGGGCATTGCCCCCATCCCAGCTCCCCACAGAGGCACCCGGCCCCTTTCCAGCCCAAAAACCACCCGGGGGGGCAGTGTATGGCGAGGGGGTACAGCAGGCTGTGCCCAGCCCCAGCCAGGGACGGCCAGAGCCGGGGGTGGGAGGGAAGTGCCACCCCTGGCCAGGATGGAAGTGCCACCTCCAGCAGGGAAGCTGGGAGGGAAGTGCCACCCCCCCTGGGAGGGAAGTGCCCCCTCCAGCCAGGAGGGAAGTGCCACCCCCACCATGGCCTGGCGTGTCCCTCTCACCTGCGAACGTGGGCCCTTTCCTCCGGGTTTTCCTGCTCTCGGCGACGCCGCTGTCTGGGGGAAGCAGAGAGGATCACAGTGAGGATGGGTGGGAGGTGACAGACCCCTGATGGCTCTCGGGGACACCACCAACCACTGTCACAGGGCGCAGCAAGCTGGTTGTCACCTCCAGAGCCACCTCCTTCCCCCAAAGGCAGCCTGGCTGTGCCCAGTTCAGCCACCAACAGCTCCAGTTCAGCCACCAGCAGCTCCAGTCCAGCAGTGCCCGGGGTCTGGGGCAGCCTCCTCCCTCTGGAGCAGGAACGAGGGGCACAGCGAGGCCACCACGGCAGCACGGGAGTGGGGGGACTCCTGTAGGGACCCCTCCTCTTCCTCCCTGCAGCCCCCCCTCGCAGTACAGCCCCCCCACTGTTACACCCAGGCTGCTGGTGCAGAGACAGCGGGTGCTGCGGGACCGGAGCACCCACAGAGGGGTCTGGGCGAGGGGTTTCCTGGCAGAGAAGGGTCCCCCTGGGAGCGGGATCCCAGGGGAGCACCACGGCCACGACACTCACAGGCTGCAGAGAACCATTTCACGAAGTCCTGGAGTTTCCTCGGTCCCTTCCTCTTCCTCTTGCCCCCGACCACCTCGTCCAGGCCGTGCGGCACCAGGAAGGGCCTCCCTGGAGGCAGACACAGAATCACTGACTGGTTTGGGTGGGAAGGGACCTCAAAGCCCCCCCAGTGCCACCCCCTGCCCTGGGCAGGGACACCTCCCACCACACCACGTTGCTCCAAGCCCCCTCCAACCTGCCCTTGAACCCCTCCAGGGATGGGGCAGCCACAGCTTCTCTGGCCAACCTGGGCCAGGCTCTCACCACCCTCAGGGTGATGAATTTCCTCCCAAGATCTCACCTAAATCTCCCCTTTTTCGGCTTAAAACCCTTCCCCCTCCTCCTAGGGCTCCCCTCCCTCATCCAGAGTCCCTCCCCAGCTTTCCTGAAGCCCCCTTAGGGACAGGAAGGGGCTCCAAGGTCTCCCAGGAGCCTTCTCTGGGGACACTGAAGGACAAGAGTCTGGCACGGTGAGCCTCACTGTCCCTGTGCAGTCAGTCCCTGGCCTACCCAGGGCAAACCACAACCCGGGGAGCAGCCCCTCTCCCCCAGCCACACCTCAAATACCTTTCTTAAACGGTTTGTCCTCGGAGTCAGCAAAGGGGTCAAGGCTCTGCCACGGATCCAGCACCTCCTGGTGAAGGAGCGAGCAGAGGTGAAACCAGCAGAGCTCTGGGGTGCTCAGCTCCCAGCAAAGCTCTCTGTGCCACCCTGGGGTGGCCACACGGGAGCCAGCGGGCCCAGCGGGTCACCCCACCATCTGCAGGGAGGGTAGGGATGTCCCCCAGCTTCCTGCAGTGCCCCACACGGACTCAGAGAGCCCCCCCTACCTTGATGTGGGGTGCAGGGTCCTCGGCAGGGGCTCGCTCCCGCAGCACGTAGCCCCTGGGCTGGGGCGCGCTCTGGCAGAGACAGAACTAGGCAGTGAGGGGGGGAAACGGGGGGCCCCGGGGCAGGAGGAGGTGGTGGCACTGTCCCCACACCTACCCTCTGTGCCTCTTTGTGCTCCTGAGCAGCCGGGATCATTTCCACATCATCCTCTGCTCCTCCAGGCATGGCGTCCCCTCGGCTGTCGTCCCCATCTGGTTCTGCAGCGCCTGGGGGGGCAACAGAGGGGTCAAGTGCTTTAAAGGCCTCTGGGAGCCCAACTTAATAAATTCACAGAAGGGTTTGGGTTGAAGGGAGCTTAAACGCCCCCCCAGTGCCACCCCCTGCCCTGGGCAGGGACACCTCCCACCACACCACGTTGCTCCAAGCCCCCTCCAACCTGCCCTTGAACCCCTCCAGGGATGGGGCAGCCACAGCTTCTCTGGCCAACCTGGGCCAGGCTCTCCCCACCCTCCCACCAAACAAGTTCTTCCCCACAGCTCAGCTCCATCTCCCCTCTTGCAGGGTCCAACCCTTCCCCCTCCTCCTAGGGCTCCCCTCCCTCATCCAGAGTCCCTCCCCAGCTTTCCTGGAGCCCCCCCCTTGAGGGACTGGAAGGGGCTCCAAGGTCTCCCCGGGTCTCCCCTCAGCCCACCCCCTGCCTCACCTTCGTCTGCAGAGAAGCTCAACGCCTGGACGGGGTCAGCACCGCTGCTGAGGATGCCAGATGGTGCTTCTGCTGAGATGACAGAGGTGAGAAGTCACCACACCCCCCGACAGGCAGGATTCCCACTGTCCCTGCCCCACAGCAGCCTCAGTGCTGCCCCTCTCACAGGCTCAGTGAGGCCAGTGGCCACGGGCAACCTCTCCCCAGCCAGGGAGGAGGTGCTGGCATCAGCCTCCTGTCCTTACCCCACACCTCATCACAGAATCATCCAGGCTGAAAAAGACCTTTAAACATATAAAGTCCAACCATGGACCCAGCACTGCCAAACCCACCACTGACCCATGTCCCTCAGCACCACGTCTGCCCGGCTTTGAAATCCCTCCAGGGATGGGGACTCCACCACTGCCCTGGGCAGCCTCTGCCAAGGCTTCACAGCCCTTTTGGGGAGGAATTTGTACCCAATCTCCATCCTAAACCTCCCCTGGGGCAACTTGAGGCCGTTTCCTCTTGTCCCATGGACCCAGCCCCTGGCCCTGTTGAACTTCATCCCATTGGCCTTGCCCCATCCATCCAGCCTGGCCAGATCCCTCTGCAGAGCTCTCCTACCCTCCAGCAGATCAACATCCCACCCAACCTGGTGTCCTCTACAAACTGACTGAGGGTGCACTCCATCTCCTTGTCCAGATCATTGATAAAGACATTAAACAGAACTGGCCCCAACACGGAGCCCTGGGGGACACCGCTGTGACCAGCCACTGATTGGCTTGAACTCCACTCCCCACCACTCTCCAGCCAGTTTTTCACCCAGGGAGATTTCTCCCATCCAAGCCATGAGCAGCCAGTTTCTCCAGGAGAATCCCATGGGAGAGGGTGCCAAAGGCTTTACCAAAGTCCAGGCAGACAACACCCACTGCCTTTCCCTCTCTGGCACCGAGGGCCCCTGCTGTTCCAGCAGCAGACACAAGCTGCACTCACCTCTCTCCCCAGGGAGCCGGGCTCTCTGGAGGCAGGGGGGCAGCACAGAATCACAGAATCTTAGTGGTTGGAAGGGACCTCTGAGATCATCGAGTCCAACCACAAAAAAAAAAAAAAAAAAAAAAAAACCAACC